TTATATATCTGTCAAACTTTGATTCAACCGTAAATCCAGAATTAATAAAACCAGTCCCCACGCCATCTTAGATCAGTTCACCGCATTCTAAGAGAAGTATCGGACTGACCACCCGGACTTCCTTTTTAAGCAAAGAACCAACAAGCTGGATAAAATCTGTTGCATTTTACCAACCAAGCAACGGTTCCTTTCAGAATAAAAGCTGAACTCACTGACCCTCCGAGTCCATCTGACACCGGGGACACACCGGCCGCGAAAGCGCCGAGAAGCGAATCGCTCATGAAATTCGGCCGCTGCTCGCCGCTCCTCAGTTCAGATCAGACGCGTCCCAGTCGAGGCGCGCCTCGGCTCAGCTGTAGTTTTTCTTTTAAACACTTGGTGTCCTCCATTTCCTCTCTGCCTTTTCTCAGCTCTTTTCCTCTACGTTTGAGTGTGTGTGTGTGTGTGTGTGTGTGTGTGTGTGTGTGTGTGTGTGTGTGTGTGTGTGTGTGTGTGTGTGTGTGTGTGTGTGTGTGTGTGTGTGTGTGTGTGTGAACCTATGGTATGAGTTGTTTCTGCCAGCTGAATCACTTGGAACCCGCTCCAATTCTGCACCTAGCAGTTTCTTCTGAAATGGGTACGTAAATAACCATGTTTTTCAGGCGTCGTACAGCTCCATGTGTTTCTCAACTTCCATAATTAATTTAAAGTCATCCATCTTAACTGCTTGCCTCAGACTTTTTGCCTCTCTGTCCTGTTTGCTCCGGTGAAAAGACACCCAAAACCACACCCCCTTCACGTGGTCACACACGCTCACAAGTTCGATGTGTGTGTATGTTAGGGCTGGGGGTAAACGATTATTTTTAAAACGATTATTCTGACGATTATTTTATCGAATAGTCGACTATTCTAATGACTATTTAGAAAATTAATCTAATGATTATTTTTCTATTGCACAATTAACAAAAACCAGAAAATCTCAAATAAATTCCTCAAAAAAATTGATAAATTCTTACTGTAAGAGAATAAACACTACAGGCCTTCCATTTTGTAAAACACTGCTTTTATTGTGTTGTTTGGTTATGTTCTGGTGACGTGTAGAACTTGGGAGTGCAGGCTGCTGCCTGAGAGGTGGTAGAAGATGGAGTGTCTCCATGCTGCTTTGTTTTGGTCACTTATGTGCGTGAGGCGAGTGGTGTTACGGGTTAAACCAAACTCAAGGTGATATTTTACACTAAACCGAAAACCCACAACACTCTAAATGTAATAAAAAGGAGATCTACACCACAAAAAAGATGAACTCTAAACCAAAACGTAACAGCTTATCCCAACGCAAGAAGCTGTTAGCGAAGATGCTAACAGTAGCTTTACCAACATTAAGTTCAAGTTACCAAGTTTAAATAAACCAAAAACACCCAGCAGCAAACAGACCAGCACGGAGGAGAGACTGCTACCACCAAAACAGCTCTCCTCGTGTCCGAAAGAAGCTCCTTAATGAAGGGAGAAACGCTCCCGGTGATTTTCTACATCTGCGATAGACACGAAGCAGCGCATCTGACCCCGGAAGTTGTTGTCCGTTGCCGGGAGACGAAGGCGGGCAAAACAGGAAAATAATCTAGTAGTGGACGGACGTTGTTCCGGGTCTTCGGTATTTGGCGGAGATGTTAGTGAAGGCGGAGAAGAGGGCGAACTAGAGGAAAAACAGGCAGATTTCTCTTCTATTTACAAACTCCTGGGGATGCAACAAGTGGGCGTGGTGCGTCAACTACCGGATCTGACGTCGACAAATTTTTAGAATCGAGCCGTCGACTTCGTCGAGGCTTCGCTACAGCCCTAGTGTATGTGTGTGTGTGTTCGTGTGGTTTTTCTGCAGTGTCTGATTACGAACACATTTGACTATTGCGGAATTTTATTTTGAAATGCTTTATTTTGTTAACTTTACCGGCCTGCCTCTTATGTCTAGGTTTGACTTCCTGCCAGAATTGATGCGATTCACCCGCGGCTCATGAAAAAAATAGAGCTGACGCCGAAATGATCACTGTACGGCGCGGGCTGGAGCGCCGGCACGCGCCGGCGCGAGGTGATTCGTGGCGCTTCAGCGGCCCATGTGGTCTATAGAATAGCTTAACAAGGGAATCTCACATTTTATGGTTCATTAAATAGATGTAAATTAAATCATTACATTTGCTAGCAAGTCTTCCAATTTTACAAATACTGGTTGTTTGGTGGCATTTACAAGCAACCAGCATGAGTTAACCACAAGTCCCACCCAGTGACTCTACCGAGCCATTTCTGCAAACATTTCCAAATGCAGACATTAGTTCCATCCTGAAATGGAGACACATGCAAACAGAGAAGGTCTGTTAAAATGACCTTAAAGTTTTGATAGTGGAAATGGGCCTAATGTTTAGTTCCATTAGCCTAGTGAACTAGACCAAATTCTTGCTTTGCAAAGAATGGTCTAGGCATGCTCCATTGGAACCTCAGCAGCTCCTACCAGGACTCTGGCAAGCCAATCACAGCTCTCTAGAAGGGTTTCAAACACATAAAGAGCTGTGATTGGTCCATAATGGTGGGCCAATCATAGTGCTCTATCTGCTTAGTGAACAAATCACAGAGCTTTATCCACTTTGTGGGCCAATCAGAGCACTCTATATGCCTGGTGGGTGGGATGATGCAACAGAGTGAAACAAGAGTATGTCACATTCATTGTCCAGTGGAATGCGGAGATCATTTGAAAGACAACGGTAGAACCCGCCCCACAACCGAGCCGTCAATGGAGCATGGCCAGACTAAATAATACATTTATTTAGTCTGGCTTGCCAGGCTAGAGTTCCATTTCATTCTGAACAGAAATCCGGGAATGGAGCTCATAACAGCATAAGCTAGGAACAATGTTCTCAGCTTTCAAACATTATAGCAACAGATATTACAAATATTACCAATACTAATATTATGTGTCTGATTTATTGAGACACACAGCGATGGAAGTCAAAACTTTTCACATGCAAGACGGCCATGTTGGATTTTAAGGTAAGAGCTAGAAAGGAATCTTAAACTTAAATATCCGAGGCTGCTCCAGTTGGTTTAATTGATGTGAAATTCAGAGATTCTGACTTTGTAAGCGTGACTTCTGGTTCTAACCCAGGCTATATTTCAGGGTTTCCCCCAGCGCTTCAGAAGCCTGGCGGCCGCCAGGCTTTACTTGCCCACCCGCCAGGCTAAGCGTCATGCCCCCCCCGACCCTACCGTGTCCACTGACACGAACGGCGCAACGAAACTAGAGCCCTCCATCAGCTGATAGTGGTGAGAACAGCAGCGGAACGTGTGCAACTGTTTCATTTTGCTCTCTCAGTTTGGGCATTTACAGCAATCTATAAAGTAGAAAAACTGTTTAAAAAAGGAGTGCCCCATAGACACGCCTAAAAACCAAAGTGCAAATCTGTTTCTAAATGCCCTACACAGCATGCTGACGGGCGCAAAATGTAAGGGAGTGGTAAAATTCTGTCTTCACACACACATCTGGTTCAGCTTTGGTTCACACGAGGCAGTTAGCGGAGGGCTGCTGGAGAGGGTGTTGCCGGATACCCAAATCTCTGGGCCTCCTATACGTCTGTAGCAAGCAAACCTGGGTGGAGGCCAGGCCATAATAGTAAACGTGGGTTTGAGGAGAAACACCAAAGACCCAGAGAAATGAGTCTGACAGAGACTGTCGGTAGAGATGGTTGCCTCTAAAAAGAAAGTCTAACAGAAAGTTTGTAATGTTCTAATTGTTCTCAAACAAAACGCTTAAAATCTAGTTGCACCTTAGCCCTGTAGCTGACTACTACCACATTCACATGACAAATAGTGATGTTTGTTTACACAAACATTAGTGAAAGAGATAAGGGGACTTTGGAACTGAACAAAGGGCAACAGGTGACCCAGTTTGGGCAGTGGTATTCAACCTGCTGTCACTGTCCTGAAAACAGCACTGGCACAAGTCTACCAATAGTCACAAATCATATAAAACAACTCACTCTAGAGTACTTTGTGACTATAACAGCATGCACATGCCGTACGAAATAAAAACAAATGATTAACTGTTACCAGTGCTTTCAAATTTCAATGGGAATTGTTGAGTCAAAAGAACTCTAATGTACCTTCTCCTCTGATGAGGTTAAAGTCATTTGAAGGGGTTCGACCAAAATAAAGAAGGTCTCAAAGAATAAATATCAGTGCTGTTTGAGTCTGACATAAAGGCTTTGATATTTGCAGAGTTGCTTCCTGGGGTAGAATTATGTTGCCATTGCTCAAGGGAAGGCTTACAGCCCTTCCTCCCACTGCAGCACTGGACCAGAGTCAGACAGGGTGCAAGCCTGGGCCACTGAGGTCAATCCAGTGAATCCCAAGCTGCACACACACACACACACATACACACACACACACACACACACACACACACACACACACACACACACACACACACACACACACACACACACACACACACACACACACACACACACACACACACACACACACACACACACACACACAGACAGACATTAGTGTGCACATATGTGTGGGTAAACGTGCACATGCGCAAGTACAGTCTGGTTCCCAGCTGCAGTTGCCTCTAAGTATCAGCAGATGTCTGGCCCTGAGATCAGGACCCGAGAAGACAACGGATGAGACCTCTCAGATGTGGGAAAGGCAATCCCTTAGAACATCACCCCTCTTACAAACACAAAGATTCATCACACACATGCACAGATTTAGAAAAGTCCAGATGCACACTGCCAAAGCCATCAGGACTTTTACTAACTCAGGCAGCCAGACAGGGAAGATGAAAAACATCCCAGTGCTGCAGCCCGGGACTTATTATGACACATGCATGTCATAATAGGACAGTCCTGCAGCTTGGCTACAAGTACTACATGAGTCGGAGGAAGGACGAATATTGGTTGTGTGTTTTTGTTAATGTGTGTTCAGGTTGAGCATGTCTAGAATTTGCCATTTAACATGTTCCAGATTCTTACCTTCATAGATAGAGATGATGTGTGGGTGGCGGAGGGTTGACATAATTTCAATCTCTCTGCGGATGTGCACCATGTCCTGTTCGTCCTTGATTTTCTCTTTTCTGATGGATTTAATCGCCACCTGCAAACAGACAGAGGCTTCATGATCAGATACTAAAATTTTTCGTAGCAGTGGAAAATATGTTATAAACTATATTTTTTCAGAAGAAAATAACATGATTTTTCCAATTTCTGTTGATTTTTCACGGCCGAGTTTTGCAAGTTTGTGAACGGTGCAATAAGCAATACCCCCATGTAAACACGTTCATGGGAATAAGGGGTGGTGGTGGTGGTGGATACGTCAAGTGACATTTCTGAACAGTTTTTGATCTGTATGAGAAACTTTTAAATTGAGCGATACAAATTTAAAGATGAGCAATACAGGCTGCCAACTATTCATTTGAGATGTGTGAAGGGTTGATGGTGGTGAAGATGACCCCCATCTCCATCTCCTCCTACCCACTCTATTCCACCATGGAGGCCATGGACCGCTCCTTCACAGGCAGACTGAGACATCCCAGATGTAAATCAGAACTCTATCGTAGGTCATTCGTCCCCTCTGCAGAAAGTGTATAACTCCTCAGTTTAACTGGTACTGCCATTATCCTGTTACACAATAACGTCAATGCAATAGTCAGTGTGTGTTCAATACTTGTGCAATTCCAGATGCACATTAGTATGTCTGTATGCCTTATGCTGCATGGTTCTGGAGACCCATGTTTCATTTATTTGTTGTTTTTAGTGGTTGAAGGTTACAATAATAGCTTATTGCCTTTGTGTGTTTACCACTTTTGTTTTTTATTTTTCTTCCTTTTTTTATAGAGTGCCTCTCTATGGCCTTCATAATTTTTATATCAATACAGCAATTTGTTTCAGTTTAAAAGGAAACATGACCAAAACAAAATGTGTGGCACTAGACGGCATATAAAGCCGGGCGTACACTGTGCGACTTTTTCACTTTTTTGAGCCGATCTTCCACTCGTGCGAGAATCCACGACATCGGGGCGAGTTTTGCGCCGAGTGGTCGTGTAGTGTACAGGGGGTTACGAGAGGCGATTAACACCACGTGACCAGCTACCGATCAGCAGTCGTGAGCTCACACGGACTTCTGGCGTGTTTAATATTTCGCTCGTCCCTCGTGAGGGTATCGCACTGTTGAAGCGGCACTGCGAGCAGCTACGATCCAAAATGTATCAGAACCGCTCACGGCGCATGCGCAATCCTGCATCAACACCGCTCGCTCGCTATTTCCCTAATAACACACGCTATTCGTTTTAATTTCTACACATTTTTTTACTCACAAAGATTGTCAAGAAAGCGTGTTTGTCGTGTTCATGTCAAATTAAACTGATCACAAAACACAGATTTACTTTCTTTATTTCGTTTTCCTCATCCAACCCCCATAAATCCCTGTGTGTCCTCCTGCAGCACTCCCGAAGGACAACAGGCAAAACAAGACAAAAAAGTGTTGTGTAAAAACTGCTATTTTTAGCATATTTTTAGAGAAGACGTGTTGCTACCAGACGTACAGTGTGAGCAGTCAGGTCGCATCCGAGAACTGGGTCGTACAGTGTGAGCACATGGCTCGTGAGATCTGCTCTGCGAGGAAGTTGTACAGTTTGAGCTGAAACTGAGTGCTACGAGTGAAAAAGTCGCACAGTGTCCACCCGGCTTTAGTCACATGAATGATCTTATCAGTGAACTTTAACATTTACACACAAAACACACTGCACTCCATGTGATGTTGGTCTCAGTGAAACCTGTTGGACAAAAACATCTGGGGCCTTAAGCATAATAGAAGTCCACAGAGAAGGCCATTGATCAACATGTAAACTGGAGCCATGGTAGCAAATAAAAGAACACATTCAATAAATGACATAGTTGCACAGGGCTACTGGAGTCCAAAACCACTTGTTTTATTTTAGTGAGATCCATGTACAAAGATCAGTGAACACTGTAGCAAAATACAGCGTTGGCATTTACTTAATATGAAGGATTTCTGATTCCCTTCAGATGCATTCCAACTCTCCAAACTGCTGTAAAGCAAAGGAAGAACTGAATCACAAACCCAAAGAGGAAATAAGATCCATTTGACATAATTTCACCAATAGTACCAGTCTTTAAGAAGTCTCAAGTCTTCCAGAGGACACCAATCACTCCCCAGCATCTTATTTTAGCTGTTCTAATTAAGACCAGCTATTGGCCGACATTTAAAGCAGCCTGTAAATCTGTCCTGCTGGGAGCTTTAAGCACACATTACGAAAGTTGAACATAAGTCTGAGGTTTAACAGTTACAAACAACTCTTGATTTGATGATTTTTCATCATTACTGTAGTGCCATATGCCACAACAGGATACATCCATACCACTAACCCGTGTACCCCGTAAATGAGAGGTTTCTCTAAATAAACCAATTGAAAAGTACACAGGGTAGGCTAATTCTAGCCTAAACATTCTGGATCAAGTCCTGATTTTCCTTTGATCAGGTCAGTATAGAGTCTGCTGACTCAAAATACTGTTAGTTTAAACTTTTGTCCTCTCCTAGCTGAGCTGCTGCCTTTGGAGGCAGCAGAAACCACAGGCAGGGGTGAGTGCCAAGCTAATTACCATGTACATCAATAAAAATAACCCCCAATCCAGAGTAGCTCCCTTCCAGACCGAGCCTTGATTACACAGAATTTCAAGAAATTAGACTTTAACAAACAGCCTGCAAATTCTCGAGCAGTACCCTTAAGACAACCGGGGCGGGGCCAAGACATCAAGGCAAGGTTCCTTGACATTGAGAAACACCCTTCAGTCAGGGCCTTCTTGGCTGAAGCTCCATTTTCAGAGGGACTGAGGGCCCACGTGGGGCTCCAGAGTCACAGGTTGCAGACCCCTGCCTTAAGTGGTAAAAGTTGTTTGGGTCTTTGCACATGGCTTCTTTTACCTCATCAGAATCATTAAGATTTTCACAGATCGCAAAATCAACAGTAATATTTCTGCAGAGAAAATTTCAGCTAACCCAATGAAGAAGCCACCTCTCTCATGTGTTCTCATGGGTTTGAGACGAAGCCGGGTATCACTTGTGAGCCTCTCCTCCAGTTCCCATGCCCAGACCCTGATGTGGATCATTAAACTGGACTGCAGATCAGTCATTTGCCAGATGAGCTTACACACATATACTTCTCTTTAAGTGGATCCCCATTACCGTCACTCACAGTAAGCAGGTGCTGCACTGCTGCTCACGCCCTTGTCAGGTATGGGTCAGACCGTCCTCCCCCCATCTCTCCAACCTTTGCTCCCAAAACGACTTGTTTGAAGTGAAAGTCGATGCTTTGCTTCTGCAGAGCCTGCCATCTTCCAGTGCTTTCTCAGGCTATTAAAACAGATGAAGCATTCACCACAAGCTGAACCATCCATGCATTGTTTGGAAGCTCACGATCATCTGTTGTGCTGGCTTAGTCGGAGTCTGGAAGGGAGAGGAGGAGAAACAGGCCTGCCACCTTTCCAGGGAATGTCAGCCAGGAATTGTAAAACCTCATCAGCAGGAGAGGAGAGTTGTTTTTCCCTTTTGTGTACCTCCTCATTGAAGTCATTGCTTGGGAATGATGTAATCACATTCTTTAAGCACACATTTAAATGACTTTTAACTGAGGCAGTCCCTCTTGTTATTGTGGTGTGTTTTCCTGTATTCCTGAACTGACTGCTCTCCTCCCGACTGTCTTCGACAGTCCCTCCATACACCCCTCCTATTCCATTTCCTCCTGTGGATGGCCTTTCATGTCCATTTTATCTTCGGCTGTCACTACTACATTCCTACTGCAGTCTTTTAGATGTGATTTAATACATAATAAACCACACATGTACTTCTGTGTCTCCAACAAGTATACAAGCATGCAGCACATCCTCTCTTGGCATTCACAAACACACAAGCTTGTCACATTTTTGTACGATGACCTCTTTGATCAATCACGTAGCTTTGGATTTTCACTGAAGTACCCAGGATGGCCATATGGCTTTCAAGATTAAAACAGCCGCTCTGTTCTTCTTTCACTCATGCAATGGATGTGTCCGTGTTTAATCGGTCTTCCTGAAGTGCTTTTGGTTCAATTCCATGATAATCACACATAGAAAAACATTCTATGTTTATTTCCTCCATCTACTCCTCTACTTGGTTTGGAGGAAAGATCTGGGAGAAGCGAGAGCGAAAGGAGATCCCAACACGACAACCTCACCCAACTGTTGAATCTGCCACATGGGCACAAGGGACTTCCTCTGGGTCAGAGGTCAAGTAAACTCTGACAATACAGATCCATGGTCTGTGAGGGAGTCAAGACCTGTTACTTCTCTAAGAACTCATCATGACATAAAACGTGTTTGTGTGTTTTACGTTTGGGATGGGTTTTTAGAAGCACATTCTAAATACAATCTTTTTAAATTCCAAGGAAAATAAATATTCCAGGAACCATCCATAGCCATCTGAGCTCAGAAGAAAAACATTTTAATCAATCCAGGAAGTGAAAGCATTGAACAATTTTAACAATAAATAAATACTACACAAGTCAAACACAAGAAAGGGTCGCTGGTAGGGGTCAACACTTGTTAACCTGCACCGATTTTTATGGCCGCTTCTATCTGCTCTGCCAGAGTGGGCACACGTGGGTCTGTGAGGGTATAACGTGTGATTTTAAGGCTTCTAATTTTAAAAGCAGCCACAAAAATGACCGTCTGACACCAAAATTAATCAAGTATTGTACACACTCAACACACAAAGAAAACTTTAAGAGTTCCAGGTTTTTGAGGTACTTTATAAACATGCTACCAAGCAGCTCATGTAAACAGCAGATTCAGTTAGTCTCAGGATGGATAGCGTTAGGACTTTCTTTGACTTTTGATTACAGTAGTATGAAGTACTTTATTTCTAGGGGGAACTTTTGGCTGCCTTTGATTCACTGGGCTCACACCAGTGGCATCCGTCCTGTCATCTGCAAGATTTGAACTCGAGCATCCGGTCATGAGGCCCTGCAGGACGAGGCGTGTGCAGCGCAACTCCCATGGGCCTTATTTTTGAGCTCATGGGGAATTCCCAGTGGAGGGGGGTGGATGCACACGCCTCTGAGTGTAACACTGCGGCAGACTCATTTATAGTGGCTATTCATGACAAATCATGAGGCTCACTAAAAGCAACCTGATAGTAGGGCTCTGCCTTGCCACATTGTCCAAGACGGCATGATACAAATTACATTATTGTGTGCTTATGTGTTTTTAAAAAGTGTGATATTAGGAAGTACCTTTTCAGTGGCCTAGTGGTACCAGTGTCCACTCTGACACTGGGAGATCAGAGTTCAAATCCAGTTGTGTCTTACCAAAGACCTTAACAATGGGACCCAATTCCTCCATGCTTGACACTCATCTTTAACCGGTTGGATTGGGGGTGTTAAACCATCAAATAGTTGCAGCTCACCGCTCCCCACGGGGGTGGGTGCAAATGCAGAGCTGGAATTTCACCAGTGTGTGGTGACTAATGGGACTTTTTACTTCATTGGTTAATTAATAGTAAAAGGCTGAATACTGCACATAATGCAACATTTGGTTAAAAAAAAAGAAAAAGAAAACATCTAAAAAAAACAACAGTTCCAGAAAACAGCTCACCTCTCTGCCGGAGTGCCTCTCTGTGGCCTTCTTGACTTTCCCATAGGTGCCTCTCCCCAGCGTCTCCAGGAGCTCGTAGCGGTGTTTGAGGTTGTGCTTGTGGTGGTGTTTCTTCACACCCGAGTTCCTCCGTCCATCACTACTGGCCGGGGTCCCCTCAGGTGAGCTGCCGGCAGGTGAAACCGGGGATGCAGGGCTGGAGAGGACAACCCACGGCTGTTCGCGCGCCGCGCCGCCCTGGCCTCTCTGGGACTCGGGACCGGCCGCCCCCCGGTGTGATACATAAACCGTCTCCATCTCTCCAACGACCTCCCCACTTTCAAATATCTAACTTAAAATCTATCACCTATAGAGCTAATAGTAGTAATAATAAATAAATAACTTACAAAATAGTGATGCTATCACATGAGGAATCTATTGTTTACTGATTGTCTTGGTTGATCGACTGACTTAATTAAAGCAAACACAAACTCCTCTTAACTCATATTGTTATATAGTCGATACGAATGAATTAGCCACTAATGCAGCATTAAATAATCGGTCTATAATAACCTAATACATGCAATAGCTGCATAAAATCAATTATAGTGCCAATAATATGATGAAATATAAACAGTAGTCAGATTTTGACCAGATGTGGTTTAATTATATTGGCTATAAAAGGCTATAAATCCAAGATCTATCCCATTGAAAGGAGGAAAAAACTAAAGAAATGAATTTCCTTGTTGCTCAGCTGACAGGTATAATCTATCAATGGTTAATTCTACGTTGCTCACATCATCTGTCGTCCTACACGCTGCCAACATCACAAAAAAGGCGAAAAAGCTGCGACAAAACCGGCGTTTTGGGTGAAGATGACCCTCATCGTGTCCACGGCCCAGGTGCAGCTCCTCTCATTTATCAGGAGTCTGTCTGTTGTGCGCCTGCAGGCTCCGTGCGGCGGCCGACTGTGGCAGAAGAGCGCTGGGATCGGACTCTCTCTCACAATGAGACGTGGTGGATAATGCCATGGTCGTTTCGCTGCGCCCCTTCTTTTTCCGTGGGTGCCCTTCTTCTTGCCCCTCTCCTTCCCTTTCTCTCTCTATCCTCCAGCTTGAGGGACCGTGAAGAAAGAATGCGAGATGATCTGAGACCGGAGGCGGAGTTTAGCCAGAACTCCTCCTCTTCTTCTTCTTGCCTTTTCTTCTTCACACACCCTCAGACAGCCCAATCCAGGGGTGTAGCAAGGATTTATGTGGACAGGAACGCCCCCATATTTTAAATGGCAATATTCATGAACAATAGGCATTTTTTTCTTATAATTTCATGGTAAATATGACAAAAAACCACGTTCACTACTAAAGCAGATTTTGAACACCGTTCATAAAAATGAACCGAAAACAGCAGCATGCCTAACAAGATCCCAGCAAACATTTGGTCATTTGATGACCATTGAAACAATGTCAGTCCAAGATGTACTGTCATGGTTGAAAAATGGTTCCAAAATGAAAGTTGAACGAATGTCACCTAGTAGACGTCCACTTACAACTGATTTACAACATGCTATGTTGAACTACACTAATAGTCAAAAAAACAATTATACATATAACCCCAGAAAACTGTACACATGTATCTAAAGGGATTTTTAGGATTTTTGTGATATGTATATATATATATATATATATATATATATATATATATATATATATATATATATATATATATATATATATATATATATATGTCATATATATATATGTCATCCTCCTGCGACCATTTTTGGCCAGATACATGGGACCAGTGGCTGATGTGAAAGAGCAACATTGCCTATAAAAACTGTTGACTTCAGCACTAATTAATTAACAACAAGTCACAACAATTTTCATTTGGTTTTGTTTTAGCTTGCACACAGAGAGCTTCAAAAAGTTCCTTCTCCAAGACTTAAATGGAATGCATGTGCTGAGAAGTGGTAATTTTCTGAAACAAATTTGATTACCTTTAACTGATTACAAAACATGCTGAGATAACTGTCATGTTATTAACAAACTAGTGTAAATATATATGTATATATATGGAAAGTATAACTGCTGATCATGCACATTTCTAAGTGAATTGCAGAATTATTTCCTCAATGACAAAATACCAATGTAAATTGTTGCAGATGTATGAGCTCCTCATAGCTGTTTATCAGCTAATTAAAGAAAAGGGAACGATTGGGTAAAGCATTATACAATAAAACAAACATTGTTTTATTTCATTGCCTGTATTGATCATACAATTTATGTTGATCTAGTTTCTAGCTATAGCAGGTATTCTGATTCAGAGCTGCACAGTGTGGCGCTCTCATTTATAAACAGGGCCACTACTGCCCTCTCGTGGTCACGTCACAGAATTCAAGCAGCAAGGAAAAAGTGATCCGACTCATCTAGAGCTCAAAAAATCAGTTTGTCTTCTTGAAATCTGCGCCTGGTGTCTTATAGTGTTACTTTTCACAATCACATAAACACAAAGGCTGTAAACCTGAGAAAATATCAAATTAAACTACCTGTTGTTCGATTAATAAATCGTTTTTAAAGCATGCTCATTGCGCCTTTGTTCAGTGTTTATGGCGCATGTGTTCATTACATTCGTGTTTATTAATAAAGTTTCCCGCGTGAACAACACGTGACCCGACAGCACCCACGTGACCACACGCACCTGCTCAATTTGTGTTCCGTATTTGATGCTTTCTCTGGAGGACACGTTAACGTCCAATTATCGCTTATTTTGCTTGAATAAAAACTTTGAGTTTTAATTTCGTGTGTAAAGCTCGATTAGCTAGCCTCTAAGGTAAGTTCTAGCTAACTTTGAATGTGGTAAAAACTAGCCAAATTCATATTTAATTAAACTAATTTAATTTTATTGTCATTAGGTGAATCATTCACACGGCGAAAGTGTTCAGCCATCTAAACGAAGCTTTTCAGACAATTCTTGTGTGTTTTTGCAGAAATGCTAGCTTCAATGAGGTGGCTGCTGTCCAAACTGGTTTCTCCACTGTGGAGGACAGTTGATGATGTGGATGTGGACATCCTCCCTGATAGCTCATGTAAGTGGTGCCAACACTTTAATGCAGTCCAGCACGTTAGATGGCATCTTTAGTGTTGCTTCACCGTTGTTTGATCGTGGCCAGGCTATGAGGACGTCCGTCACCTGCGGGGCAGCGTGGTCACGGAGCTCTGTCTGGACTATGGCCTGATAGATGACTCCATCTTCTTCACTAGCACTGAGGTTCTGGGCGGAATTGCTCTGAAACAAGGAGACCTGGTGAACTGCATAGCCGTGAGAGGTGGCACTAAAGGAGGATGGAAAGCTTTAAGGGTGAGGAACCCCTGCTTCACCTGCAGGGAAAACAAAAACATTTCTGACTTTATTCTCTGAAAAAGCTCAGAATTCAGTTTTTCCTCCGAATTGTCAAGTTATTCTTTTGAATTTTGGAAAGAAAAAAAATACTAATTTAAAAAAATTTAAGTGGTCCTAATCCTCTTTCCCCAAAAATATGACGGATATTTTTTCCTAAAACAGCTGCACCTCTGAACTAATATATTTTTTAAAATCTTTTTCTATACACTGCATGATGAGATCTGTTTTTACCTTCTTGCTGACGTGACGGCGATGCAACTGTAGCTGAAACATGTCAGCAAGAAGGTAAAAAAAACAAATCTCTATTACTCTGTATAGAAAAAGAACTGACAAATGGAATACGATGACCAAGACGGAACAGATTTAACAGATGTTCAAAGGACCTCTGCACTAGTTTAATTCTGATGGACTGGAAAACGAGGTTCTCAGACTGTAAAAGGTTCCGACCGTCATTCTAGACTATCTCCAACTGACATTTAAGCGTGCTTTAGAATGCTAGCGTGTGATTTTGGCAGAGACATGAGAAGTCTGACCGGAGCTTGTTGTTTACTCTTTATACAAAGCTTGGATTGACATGCCCTGAATAATCTTGTCATTTAGGTGGAGAAGAGTGCAGATGCTTGGGATGATGGAGGAAGAACCTCTATAGAAGCTGACAGTTTGCAGCTGCGACCTCTCATCGGGGCTATCACATCAGTAGAGGGCGATGGTGGCTACATCAGTCAGACCACATACTTCTCACGCCAAACCCTTCTGGAAGGTACAGATGATCAGCATAAACACAACAACTACATTAGGTCATTTCTTAAACCCACAGCATATGGAGTTCCACACAACCTCCTTGCTCATCTTCTTTTATCTGGTATTTGATTTAGTCAGAAAGTTAAAGCGATACCAGGTAGTTGTGCTTGCTTATAGCACGCCCTAGTGTCCGAAGAGGAGTCTAAACCTGTCTCTTTACTGTGCGTTCATCTTTTTAACACCTTCATCTAATAGCTGAAACATCTCCCAGCCTTCCTAAGTGTCTAGAGGAGTTATTTATCACTAAATTAAACAGATCAGCTGTCTTCATGATCTAAAACATGCTGAAGCCAGACGGCAGCGTCAGGTCTCAGCTCAATTTTTTCTAAAGCCTGGTTTATGCTTCTCCGTCAGCTCCGCAAGGGACAGACACGCACGGATTGACGGAAGCGTTTTGCGCTTTTACTTCTCCGTCTCCTGGAGAGTGTTGCAAAGCAATTGCCCGGCAGGACAACAGAGGGCGTAGCGCTGTTCTGTGGTATCCTGTCATGTATCGGTCCAAGATGGTGTGTTTATATTGTGTTTTTGTGTATATAAGAGACTTTTTAACACGGACATATTTGTCTCTCATTCTCCTCCATCTATTCATGCGCTCCCCACCTCTAAACCTACGTTTCCTATCATTTCCGTCCACAAATAAAACTCTTGCTGTGCATCTTTTCACTCCTCCAGTCACGGGAGGATGAAACGTTCATATTTTTAGAGTTTTTTTGCGAGGCATTCTTCAAGCTTCTCCGTGTCTGCCGCTAGTTAAACTCGGCTCTCTTTGCAATGGCGGCGCTGTAAACAACAGCGGCGTCCTGACCAATCACAAGCTTGCGTAATCCGTCTCGTTCGACGGATGTTTAAAAAAGTGGGCTCGACTCCGTACGTACTTGCGTGCCTGCCGGAGCCCTACGCAAGGACGCTGCGTGTCTCCGCACTGACGCAGACGGAGAGGCATAAATCAGGCTTAAGTCCTAACAGACCGGACCGGCAACTGTGATGTTGCAAGTGCGATATTTCGACCACTGGGGGCGACAGGGGCAGGGTGGCCATTCCTTAACCCTGTAAAGAGTCTGTTTAGCACGTACTGGCTCAAGAAAATGAGTGAAAAATGTGAGAAAGTTGCAAACTCCCTTTTAAAATACAGCACCATCAAATGATTTACTGAAGATTGATGACATTTTCAGCATATATGTTTTCTGAGTTTAGCGTGTTTCTTACAGGGTATGAGCCAATGAAAGGGGACTGGGTCCAAGTCCAGTATTTCATTAACCCCGGCCAGTGGACCACCCAGGCTCATTCTGTGGCCCCACTACGCTATAGCCGCTTGGACCAAGTAACTGTCATTCTCCTACGATATAAATAATTATTCAAATGGAATTCATGTTTTGTTTTACCTGGTCAAAAATGTTAAAATCCACATATGTAGGTACAATTTTTCTTTTCTGATTGTTAAATTGTCTGACTCCAGGTCAGTGTGACCAGTGTTTATGGCGGCAGCGGTGTGGTGGAGGACAGCGTTTTCTTCAGCTTGAGTTCTCTGCTGCTGCCTACCAACTACCAGCCATCAGTAGGAGACCTGGTCAACCTGGTAATGGTGGAGAGCAGTCAGTCTTTGTACAGCTGGAGGGCTCTGTGCATGGCTCCCTGCTCTCAGAGGTACCCACAGCTTTTACAGAAACTGGAGAATAAAAATGTCTGCATGATAAATGTGATTAAATTGTGCTAACTTCTGGGTCTGTTGATAGTTTTTTCTTTTAGTTGCAGCAGGAACGTTTCTGCTGTACCTGTCACAGACGCTGAACTTCCGCGAGTCTTGGAGAACAAAGGAGGGCTTGATGTTTCAGACTACGGCCAGTTTGGAGACGTGATGCTTGGGGAGCAAAATCAGCTGGTGTTCTGGATACAGTCAGTACTTTTTGTTTCTGAGTCCTTCTGGTGCAAATGTGAAACTTTTGCATACTAAAAGAAATGAGCTATTAGCAGCACACTACTGCTGTGCACATGTTCTTCATTTGTTCCCGTTCTTGCAGAAATAAAGGCTCTGAGATGCACACGCTGAAGTCTTGTGAATTTGCTGGCTGGGACTCTGAGGAGCAGTTCAACCTGATTACTGTCAATAATAGCTCACCATCACTCAGCCAGAGACAACACTCACAGGAAAACGGGTCAGAACCCTTAGAAACACAAGGCAGAGCTACACTAGAGGCAGACAAGGAGAACGATGCAGTGCAGACAAACAGCATCCTTACGAGAAGAGCGGAAAAGGAGGTGAACTTAGCACCTGGAGAGAGACACTCAATTGTGATAGTCGTCCAAGCGAAGTAGGTTACAGCCCAAAAGATTGTTGTCGCAATGTGGTTTACTCTGATAATATGAAATATGTATATTTTCACTGTGACCCAGGATCCTGGGAAGCTGCAGGGAGCTGCTGCTGCTGCATTTCTCCTCTTTCACCATCGGGAGGCTCCTGGAGGTCACCGTTGGCTGTGAGGATGAAAACCTGCTGCAGCCCTCTGTGCCCTTTAGTCCCCTCCATAACCCGCAGTCCACAAACTCTTCCCTTCACGTGGTCACCGTATCTGCTCCAAAAGATGCACCAAGGTATCAGAACTGCAGGTTTAAGTTATGACCAATAAGTGATGCTAAGCTATGGTCTGATAAACTCACTGGTTTATATTCATGGGAAGATGCTCACAATTTGTTTGCAGTTCTAACATACTGATAACACTTCATGTATTAAGTTTAGAAACTAATTGCAGATATTTTCTTTTAAAGTGTGAATGAGAGAAATTGGACTGAAGGAACCACATTTGACCACATGACATCATTCTTACATACTACACCTTTAATGTTGATGTAATTTAGACAAAATGACATGTTCTTTTTGTTTGACACCAATCTTCCCTCTTCTAGGCTTACCAGACGAAAGCTGCCCAACTTCCTGCCCACGTATGCGGTGCCCAAGCGTCTGAGAGACTGCGTGGAGATGCAGGGCGATGTTCTGGCAGCTCAGCCCTGCCTTGGAGAGGTCAGCTTGGATATGGCCAAATGTAGCTCTCAATAGTTTGTGTAAAAGTTAATTGAACTTTGAATGAAAGCTAATTGTTGCACTTGTTTCTACATCCTGAACAGAATCATTTTAGGAGAAAGACGACCAAAACTTAACGCTCTCAAAACCTAGAAGAGCCATGCTAACATTAGCAGCACTCTAGCTAATGTTTCCACAGGAAAACGCATAAACAAACTGAACTAAAGTATTGTTTTCATCTGGATGGAGATGATTCCAGTCAGGATGAGGTTTTTGTCACATACCAATACTCGACTTTATGTTTACAGCTGCTTGATAACACAAGAAAGGAGTAAAGTGGTTGCAGCAGTAACATAAGACCTTAAAGCTTAGCGTTATCCTTTAAACCTGCAGGTGTTGTCACCCTTCAACATGCAGTCCCGTTTCTCAGCCCTTCTGTGGCTGGAAGAGCTGCATGCAGAGAGAGAGTTGAGGGAATTCATGATCTGTGGAGCGCTGCTCAGGAAAGGAGCCGCATATCTGCACCTCAAGGTGCTCGGCTTGGCTGAAGGCAGACCCAACCTCAACATAGGTGAAGTTTTTTAGTTTTTTACTGTAAATCATTGAATTAGATCGAGGTTTGACGTTTTTATCATTCTCATGAGTCCTAAACCTTCTCCACAGGAGACAGAGTTCTGCTGAAGAAGCCTGAGTGTAATGGCGTGATGTTGGAGTACATCAGCTATGTTACGGAGGTATGGAGATCATCTTTTCGGACGTGCTCTTTTAAAATCTAATTCTGTTTCTGCTGTTCAGATTAACGACGAGGACGTGAGTTTGAGAGTAAATTCAGACTTTCAGCGCAATTACGTTGGTGAGCCACTTGATGTTGAGTTCACCTACAACAGGTGTGTTAAGATTTGTGTGCTAGATTTCTAAACGTCCCGCATTTGAATTTCACAAAGTTTGATTGCTTTTGTCAGGCTGACCATGAGGCGATGCCACTTTGCACTGGAGCAGACGAGGCATTTTTGGGAGAGTAAGTTGTTTGTGATATGTTAGAGGTCAGAACTGGACTGCAGTGAGAAGCTTTTGCACAGCTCAACACTTCTGATGTCATTTTGAATAGACCCTTTTACTGTTTGTAAACAATATGACATCAGCGAGAAAGCGTGCGCAGCTTGGCAACAGAGAATGGCGTTGTGTCAGGCTTTATCAAGCTACGCTGCGGGGTTATCACCGGCAAATCTTGAATGTTATATTATTAAACTCACTTTAACGAATGGCAACAGACTCCCGGATCCCTGTGGCATTACGGAATGGGTGGAAGATGTAGGTGCGTGGCCAGATATCCAGTGGCCCGATATATACACGTTTTTAGTGGAGAGGCCCAGTAAGTACACACGTGAGAAGCTACGGGCATACAAATCGCTAGATGCATACAACTATGTTGTCTGTGGCCACGTACAGAAAGTAAAATATCACGACATAGACTCCGAGTTTTTGCGTCCTGAAGGCAGAAGTCCTTCCTAGCCAAAGACAAGGACACAAGACTGCTATGTACGAGGCTTGGGTCATAGTAAACAAACCAGAGAACTACGTCTTCACAGCCAACTGTACCTGCATGGCAGGGTGAGTATAGCATAGGTTTCTTTTTTTAGCGTGCTCAGAGTACAACCGTGTTAATTTTAGAGAAATACAGTTTATACTAATATGCAGTAGGAAAATACAGATGAATTAGAATGAAATGTTAATTTGAAGCATGAAATAAAGCGTATACATTTGTTTAATTCTGTCATTTTGATGTTCCAGACTTGGGTCCTGCTGCAGCCACGCAGCAGCAATTTTATTCAAAGTTGAGCTTTGTGTTAGGATGGGAAAAAGAGAAAAGGCTGCAGTTACATCTCAGGCATGTGCATGGAAAGACCTGAGCAGGAAAAATGTAGATTCTGTAAAGTTTCAGTCCACTGCTTGAAGAGGAGCGATTCTGGCATCCATACACGCAACAACCCGACATTTTTATGTGCTCAGAACTTCAAAACAAAGGGTTTAAAATGCTGTTTTAGTATCGAGTGTGAATGAGGAAGCCTTCACTCTCGTTGCCAAGCTGCGCGCGCAACTTTTGATGACGTAGGTAGTAAAAGGGTCTATTACTTTCAATTTGGAGGCAAGTTGTCGCACTTTGCCTTAATGTCCACCAGAGGGTGGTGTCTGGATTTATTTCAGTTTTGAAGCAACTGCAGCAAAATCTCTGAAAATGCTCTTAATCGTTTTGACATTACTTCTTTTTAATGGCCTGTTTAAGAGAATAAGTTACACGTACATGTAGATGAAGGTAGAAGTCAATTTACTAAACTGTTGTTCGTTCAAGAGATGCCGGAAATCACAAAAAATCAGCTACATTTTTCTACATTTCTGTGTAGTTCTGTTCCCCTCCAGAGTGACACTTCAAACCCCTCAGTGGTCTGGAAAATGGCTTGAAGAGGTAAACCCAGAGAGAAGGACAGTGGTGTGATTCATGTAAAAAACAAAAGCTCATTAAATACATTTTGTCAAACAGAGTCAGGAGACTGAAAACGGACCAGTTTCAGACTCTTCAGCTAACATGGAGTCAAGGGCCACACAGACAAAAGGTGCAGATTCTTAATTCTGTTTTTACAATCATATCAACATTCTTAGTAAAAAAAAAAATATATATATATGTGTGTGTGTGTGTATTTGATTTATTTATTTTTATTTTTCAGATGGAGAACTGACAACCAAACCCATCCCGAGCCAAGGGCAGTTCTTTAACCCGGACCTGAACTGCTCTCAGAAAGAGGCAGTAAAGAGGATCCTGGCGGGAGAATGCCGGCCCATGCCCTACGTGTTGTTTGGACCTCCAGGAACCGGAAAGACCGTCACCCTTCTAGAGACTATACTGCAGGTCCGTTCACGTTTAGATGTAAAGGGCTTTTAGCCACCTGATACGGAAGGAATGCTTAGGTAACCAATGAGGGTGCCTTTATTAATGTTACTTAGTTGTAGCAATTATTACGTATTAATTATGACCAATAAGATGTGATTTTCCATACAAATATGAAATATCAATCTGATTGATCTTTGACCCTACAGGGTATGGCCTGATAAGATTCTAGTGCTCTTAACTTCTTTAGTGACCATAAACACACTTCGTATTAATTCAGAGTCAAGTTTATAGTTTATAAAATGAATTCAATTCTTTTTCCTAAACTAACAATTTAAACATGACCAGATATGAATAATGAGATGTAATGGGGTGAGGTGTTGTGATGGAAGCTAGATGTTGTAGCAACAGTTCTTTGTATCTGAGAGAAATAGTGAAATCTGGGTGCAAAAGAATTAGTTGTTTGGTTCTAAACTAGAGTTGTTTATTAAAAACCGCATCAGACGCAATCTGTCGTGCCAAGTCTACGCACCCTTGGTGTGGAGGTTCTCGTTCGATCTGGGGGGTCGATGGTCACTGCTGGTGGAGTGAACTCTGACATCAGGAATCTGTAGATAGTTCCGATAGGACCCGCCCAGTCTGAGATCTCGTTGCCGAGAGGCTTTGACAGGAGGTCAAAGGAGATGGTTTCAAAGAGGCTTCTTTCCTGATTTGGCCGAATCGGGGTTCAGCTGGAAACGGAATTAATGGGGAAGTAAATCCTGTTTAAATAAACCACAATGTTTCGATTTCCGGCCATTCTGGCAAATCAGAATTTGACACGTTTCTGAGTATTTACCAACTTTCCTCAGAAACCCACGCCTTCCTTCAGATACAAAATTCTTAATTCTGTGAATAAGAATGGCTTAAAACACTTATGTGAGGTGAACCTTGACCCTAATATGTATCTTATTGCTAAATCAAACACATACTCATTTGTGATATAAATGGATCATTGTAAGAACAATATTCCTTCAAATTCATTGATTTTAAGCAGAGATTATTCAAACATTTAATTTAAACATCTTGTTCATTAATCACATATGATTATTGTAAGCTTGTGAGTTGTCAAAGTCATGGAAACTTCACTTGTTCAGGGTAAAGAATGTTGACGTCTGGCGTTCATGCAGAGAGTGTACAAGCTTGGGAGAGAATTCCATTTTTGGTTCTTTTTTAAACACAGAAAAGGTTTTTTCTTTACCTTGCTGACGTTTCGTTTGCGGCTGCGAACATCCTCAGAGCTGATGCTGATGGTGGCGTCACGTCCTGCTCCGTTTATCCGCGGGCAGCAGAGGACGTTGTCGCCCTCTGCTGCCCGCTTTCCTCTCTCCAATGATGCAGTCCCATGCGCGGTCCAACGTGTACACTCCATCGTCCCTGTTCATGGTCCTGCATCCACGTCTCCTTATCTCTGTAGCTTCTTTTATCCATCTTTTGTATTTCTGTTGTTCGGTGTTTATGATCCTTGTGTTGTCCCAGTTCATTATATGGTTTTCTCTTATGCAGTGATCTGTTACGGCTGATTTCTTTATAGTGTTTTCTGCTTCTTGTTTTGCTGCTCTTGTGTGTTTTCGACTTGTTTCTTTCTCGCCGGGAGGGGGGGGGGGGGGGGGGGTCGGACTTATGTTAAGAAGAAGAAGAAAATATAATTTCAATAGCGCCTCTCAAGATAAAAATCACGAGGCGCTTAAGCATAATTCTGCGCACACAAAGATGAATACGAGACCTGGATGATGAAGCTCAATGGTTAAAGGAATCACTGAAGCGGTGTGAAGCGCTCCGTCGTGCGTCTAGAGGGTACTGTAGGAGGCGAGCTGCCGTGGTTCGCCGCATGCTACAGGAGCGAGCTATCTAGGTGCGCACAGCGTCCCCCGGTCCCCTCCTCCTCCCCCTCCTCCCTGTCCGGAACTCGACCACACCAGTCTGAAGCAGCCACCCTGTCCGTAACAAGTCTGGACCTGTTACTAGGGGCTTCGTCTGGTTTAATGACGGAAAACGTTATCCGGATGTTTGTATTCAGACACAAAGGTCTTACGGACAGAGTCCGGAACATTTCCGTTTTTCATGGCCTGTCTGAAGGGGACTTTAGAAACAGACAAGTACACCCAAAAGACAAGATACCAGCTGGATGATGTCAAAACGATCTAACACATGGATTTTCTGCTTCCTGATCGTGTGACATACGCGGATGAAGTTCAGTTTTAGAGCTGGTATGTTTATTCTCACGGTGTGGGGGCTCGTTCCGACACCCACACAGTAAAAAAATGCTAATAGCCAGTGGATGAGTTAACATCCCCATTTGTTAAAGGGATACCAGGCAGTTTAGCTTGCTTTTAGCACCTCCAGTGTCTGTTTGTAGATGCAAGTCTATCTGCTTGCTGTGCGTTTGTCTTTTTAACACCTTAATCTAACAGCTGAAACATCTCCCAGCCTTCCTAAGTGTCTACAGGAGTGATTCCTCACTAAATTAAGCAAATCAGCTGTCGTCATGATCCAAAACATGCAGAAAACGTGCTAAAGTCAGAGTTGTCTGTTTTATAAATAAGACAAAAGCACATGACACTTTTTTCTGTACAAAACTATGTCTTAGGGTTAGGGTCAAGTAAATATGTGTCTATGCCCATCTGTTCCTCCCTCGTTATCACTCACAATGTTTAAGTATCTTCTGTAGGAAGCTGGAGAGCAGAAAAAGAAACCCTTAAAGATGGACTGACCCTTTGTGTGATGTTAAAACCTCTCCACCCTCAGGTGTACCACTTTCTGCCCAGCAGTCGGGTTCTTGTGTGTACTCCATCCAACAGTGCCGCTGATCTCATCTGCATACGCCTGCATTATAGCGGTTTCCTGCACACTGCAAGTTTGGCCCGCATCAATGCATCCGGCAGGGACCAGGAGGTACTGAAAGCCTTTGTCTCCTGGATGAATGGTCCTGCTGTTACTGAACTTGCATACCGGATTAATGTGTCCATTCCTGTTTAGTCTATTCCAGAAGTGCTGCAGCCTTACTCGAGGGCAGGTGAAGACATCCGTCAGGCTGCTTTTCACAGGATCGTGGTCAGCACCTGTTCCAGCGCCGGAATGTTCCATAATGTTGGAATACAGTAAGACCCAGGGTGTTGTCATTACTGTCACAGCTTACGTTGAAGTTCACTCACTATCTGCGTCTGTTTCTTCAGAGTGGGACATTTTTCTCATGTGTTTCTGGATGAAGCTGGCCAAGCCACAGAACCAGAATCTCTGATCCCAATCAGCCTCGTGTCAGAAAGAGATGGACAGGTCCGTAATAACGTGTCCACGTCATTCACACCTCCAAGTGGAACATCCAATGGCTTCTCTCTTATCAGTAGAATCACTCTTTGTTATTTTCATTCAGACTGAATCAGTTCACTGCACTTGGTCTCTTGAGCTGCTTAAACTAACATTGAAAATGTCTAAAAGACAGGGTATCCGCGGGTCCTTGAAAAGTCTTAAATTAGCTTTTCCAAATTTAAGGCCTTAAAAATCCTTTAAAAATGACAAATAACCCTTAAATGCAGTTTCCAAAGGTCTTAAATTACCAAAGACCCAATAAACACGATCCTTTTGTTTTCCTGAATTTCTAGTTAGTGTTCAGCATTTTTTTTGTACGATGTTGGCGTAAGCGGAACCATACACATTCAGTTGGTTGTGAAAGGGGGCTATTTTTAGATGAGCACATTAGCTGGCTAAGCTAGTGGGAGCTTGTGCCATGGGGAAGGGCAAGTTTAATGGTAACTGGATGGCTAATCCTACGTGGCAATAGCTGGAAATTATAGCTTAAATTTAATTTTAAACATAGCTTAAATTTGGTCTAAGTGGCCTTAAAAAAGGTCTTAAATTTGGCTCCCTTAAACCTGCAGATACCCTGGAAAGAAGAAATGAAATAATCTACTATTAGGTGCTTACCCCACAGATGAGTACAGGTGTTTCATGTTTACCTGCTTAGATTGTGCTGGCTGGAGACCCCTGCCAGCTGGGTCCGGTGGTGAAGTCTCATCTCGCCTCCAGCTTTGGTTTGGGGGTGTCTTTATTGGAGCGACTGATGTCCAACCCGCTGTACTCTAAACACGACTGGGGCTACAACCCTAAACTGGTCAGTGCACTGAATGCAGATGTGGATATTTAAAACAATTTTATATTCTGCTTTCCAAAACAAGACTCTAATTTCCCTCTGGGATTACTAAAGTACTTTTGAATTGAATCGAATTGAAGTGTACAAAAATTAGCTTGGAAATAAGAAACTATGCCGATGGAGAAAGTTTCTCCAGATGTTGGCTGTTATAACTGTCAAGTCTTTGTCAGCAGCTTGAAGACAAATGTTTAAACTATTTTATTTCAGTATCTGTTTTGTATTTCTATAAACTGCTTTATTTGACATCAGGTGACAAAGCTCATCTATAACTATCGCTCTCACGAGGCCCTGCTCACACTGCCCTCCAAACTCTTCTACCTTGGGGAGTTGTGTTTCAAAGCTTCCCGGGATGTTGTGGAGTCCCTCTGCCAGTGGAAAACCCTTCCCAAAAAGGGCTTCCCGCTCCTCTTTCACGGCATCAGGGTAACACCTATTTTATTGTCATTTGTGTTCTATTTTATGCCAAATTAGCTTGTTTAGTCAATAATACACACAAAATGACAGGTTTACTGATAAGTGCAGCTGTACAGTGTCAACTTTTCTAGAGTTCCTTTGGCTGGAACAGGTAGCTCATGCTTTAAAAAAGTGTGGTTCACTGAAAAAACATCTTTTATTGATTATTTCTGATTAGTTTTTCATGCAGGCTGAACATGAAAATAGTCTCCTTCACCTATCTCCTGCAGTATCTTCTGATAGAAAATAGACGGTAAAAGGCTGACTTGTACTTCCTGATTCAGGTTCATCTGCGCTTTTTCCCCCTCGAGTACGACGTACAAGGCATTCATCCCTACTAGAGACCACGGGAAATGTATCAAATTATTAAATGTTCAACACCTTTTAATAAAAGTTCTCTTCAGGGCACAGAATTTAGAGAAGGCAACAACCCGTCGAGGTTCAATCCTTCTGAGGCTGTTCAGGCCATGCTCTACTGCTGCCAGCTGGCAAAGAAGATCTACAAACCCGTCAGCTCCTCTGACATCGGCATTATTGCTCCGTACAGGAAACAGGTAGGACTGCACCCACTACTCCAGGATGGAGTGCTATATTCCTGCTTTACCCTTCTCTGTTCTCGTGTTTATCCAGTCTGAGAAGATACGGATGCTGCTGGCTAAAGTGGGTTTGTCTGACATCAAAGTGGGCTCAGTGGAGGAGTTCCAGGGACAAGAGTTTCTGGTCATCATCTTATCAACGGTAGGTAAAAACATGCTTTAGGTAATCATTTTACTCTTGCATAAATTATTGTTGGTTTCATATGAAACTGAGTGATTGAACTTAACATTTAGACAACCTAGATAGATAACTAAAGGCTGGCTGGCTGCAACCTTTGCAAGATTATATCAAGTTGTGTATTTACTCTGAAAGTTTGTCAAAACACTGGAAAAAAGGGGTCAAGTCTCAATTTTTACAGTAACAAATGCATTTATATGTTAATCTGCTGAAAATTAGAATATATTTGTGTGTTTAGGAGGCCAGATAAGGTGTTTATATTTACATTTGCTAAGATCTAATGGCTCTAGCTGAGTGAGGGAGACAGAAACATCTGTTTTTGTTTTTGTCTGACATCAAATCCATTTACTGTGGTTTATGTCTCTAAAGAGTCCAACAGAATGGTGGATTACAATGACACACTCTGAGGATTCAACTTGTTGAATTAACAAAAAATGCTGACAAACTGAGCTAAAATATCAAATACAGTCTAGTGAGGAGAGGCACATGCACTCTTTGGTAGGTTTTGGTAGGACTTCAGTGTATTATTTAATTATGTTACAAAAGTCCAATAGCTCTTTTTTAAAGTTTATAAAAGATTTAGGATATATTTATGTTGTTGTTTAGAATGAAGATATCTTATGTTTCATTTAAAGTCAGCTAAAATAAGATGCACATTTAGTATGTGATGTCATATTTGCATTTTGACTGAACACACACAGCTTGACTAATTATCACTGCCACACTGTATTTTCTTATGAGTCCGTTGAGGTTTTGTCCTTTCGGGATCTAGGTGCGCTCTGACGAGTCAGTGGAAAGTGATGATTTGCAGAGTTCACTTGGCTTTTTGGCCAACCCCAAACGCTTCAATGTGGCCATCACCCGCCCTAAAGCTCTGCTGCTCATCGTCGGAAACCCCCACGTTCTCATTAGAGTGAGTGGAGGAACACAGAGCTGTTACAGCCCTGTTATTGATATGTAATGTAATAGAGCCAACACTCTGGACTGATCTGAATGCTGTCCCATCATCCCAGGATCCTTGCTTCAGGGCTCTGCTGCAGTACAGTTTCATCAACGGGGCCTATCTGGGCTGTGACCCCCCTCCCTCCCTGAGGAATACTCAGATGTTTGTATCAAAGCATTCATTCAGATTGTTCATTTATAATTCAGTGAGTCTGTGATGACGAGTTATTTAATGATGAGGTTTGTTTCCACAGAGCTGCAGAGGAGCAGAAGCCAGCTTAGAAGAAAGATGGCATCTCCAGGCCCATTTCTATGTTTAGCCACCCTAGCATTCCCTAACACGCTTCTGGTGTGACTTCCTAATTAGCTGTAGTTGTTAAATACTTTAGAAACTGATCTTGTTTCTATTGGAGACGAGGTCTCATTCGCTGGGGATTAAAATAAAGATCTTGCTTGTGTACGCTTTAGTTTTTCATTTCACGTGATCGACTGTGCAGAAAATGAGATACGAGTACATTAATGGGACCATTGCTGTGCTCATTTACCAAAATGGGACAACATAAATATAGATTTTTCTGCAACAGGACCTGTGAAGGATTATTTGTTCTCTTTGCTGTGCAACACAACATAGAAACAAGACAGTTTTTAAACTTTTATTAAGATGAGAGCATTCGCTCTCACAGACGTCTGCTCTCGTCAGCATGGCAACGTCTGCCCATAATAAGGCCACAGAGACTGGATGTGACAATTGAGTGCTATTGACGGTCTATGAAGTGACTGGTAGTCCTACTGGAGCCCAGCAGGATGGAGAAGGGAAGGGGGATAGGGATAAATGCGGGTTCAGTGTTTTAAGTTAATGGGTCTCTTATGTACATGAGGAGACAGCTTTTAAGTTTGAGCCCAGCTCTTCTAACAACACCCACCCTCCTCACACACACACACACACCTTTGTCTTTGATGTATGCCTCAGGTTCTTATGCTGTCCCGCTCTGCCTATGGAGTAGAACCTTAGGGAGAACGCACCATGCTATAACCATGAAAGTGAGACTTTTAGGTTTCAAGTTCTCTGGTTGTTGAAGTTTATGTACTGGAGTTGATCCAGTCCTCTACCAAACTGTTAGGGATGTGAATGTGATTATTCTGTATTAACTGATCTTCAGGAATGACGGAGCTTTTAAATCCCAAATGCAGCTTTAAAAGAAAACGACTCAGATGTTAGACTCCAGCTTTCACTCTTGTCTGGAAAAGGCATCACAGTCCTGCTGATGAAGATAGAATAAAACATAACCACCGTGCTGTGTGTAAAGGTTGTACTAACGAGTCTGTTATTAAAAAGGAAGAGATTAAGATTAAAACAGGGTTATTTTCTGGAAATATTGCCTTGTTGGGATCTCCTTGTAGTTTAAAAAAAAAACACAAATAGTTAATACTGGTGGCTGAAGTTTGCAGGTGACAGTCAGCATGAGTCTGATTCTTTATTGAAATCATGATGATGTCTCATTTAATCTAACCCAGTGGTCAAACACATTTAACATACTAAACATGACTGTGGTTATCATTTTATAAATACACCAATAAACAGCTGAAAACCTTTCATTATAAAACTTTATTAGTTCAAAATATCTGGTTCTAAGTGTATCTTCTGTCTGTAAAGTTGTTTTAAAGAAAAAGGAAAACAATTGTGGTTCAACCAACCATAAGTTTCAAATGTAATAATACATTTTAGCTGAAGAGCCTTTAAAAAAAACTCAATCTCGCTGTACAATAAAAATACAAACATTCCAACAAGGACAAAAAAAAACCCTAGTCAATTTAAAACCACAATATAACACTTAAAATACAGTTAAAGGGAATATTCAATCTTGAGCAGGTGAGTTTTGAGTTTGGTCTTGGTCTTGAAGTGTTGCCAGATAGTGGTTTTTCTGAGATCAGCTGGTAAGGAATTCCATAGGAAGGGGACAGATCTGCTGAATGCGCGACTTCCCATGGTGACATGTCGAGCAGGGGGATTGTGCAGATTGATGGAAGCCGTTGATCTGAGCAAGCGGGAGGGTGTGAGGGGGCAAGGTTTGTGAATGGCCTTGAATGTAAGGAGTAACATTTTGTAGTTGATCCAGAGTTTTATTGGTAGCCAATGAAGTTCCTGCATTATGGGGGTGATGTGATTAGAGGAGGGTGTTCTAGTGATGAAGCAAGCAGCAGAGTTTTGGACCAGTTGAAGGTTATGTAGAGATTTCTGTGACAAGCCAAAAAGGAGTGAGTTACAGTAATCAAGACGTGATGTGACCAGACTGTTTACTAAAATGTACGTATAGAATGATGGATAAGCTGGAGCATCGGTATCACTCCAGCTCTTGTATGATGTTCCCTGTCTTCAGTACTAATGGGCCAGACTAAAGAAAATGGTGAACAATGTAATGAGTGGCAAAAGCTCTCGTATGTATGTGAAGAGCAACGATGGTGTCATAAAATATAACCGATTAGGAAACACGAGTCTTCAGATAGACATAAAGTTACTCTTTCTGTGTCAGAACATGTTTGATTGCTATTGGCTGCATCTGAACATTGTTGCTGACCAAATGCACTTATGGCAGTGGCACTTATTTTTCTGACAATCTGGTTGGCTATAATGCAAAAATCAAGTCTGATTTTTGGCATAAATAGACTTGATGTCTGTTTTCCATAAGTGGACAGATAAAACAAGGTAATCCTAAAAGTATTTTAAAGTACTGGTAGTTAAAATCCAAACATTACTCAAAATTCTAAAAAAAATAAAAAAAAAACACTAATAATTTATAAAAGCACACTGTTACCAGTGTAGATTACACAATTGGTAAGACACTCGTTTTTAGAGGAAAATCTGACTTCAAAGAAGCAGGATGAATGGTCCTGCCTCGGGTGTTGAAGTGCTACAGATGGTTTGGTGTCTGAAATCACATCAGACTTTGAGACTGGTGTTCGTTCACTAATTGGTTAGGGCTGGTGGTTGTATTAGTGTGGATCAGTTATATATTTCACCTAGCATGCACACCACTTTATAAAAAGTTAAATTTTCATTTGGTTTAAATTTGAGCCTGGGTGTCTGACCCTCTCATATGATCCTAAATTTGTGGCATTTGAAACGACGACGTACAAAACCAGCGAATGGTAGGATGACATCATGGTGGTTTATATGTTGATTGATGTTTTAAATGTGGTGCATTCCACAAAAAAAAAAAAAAATAAATTACTGTCACAACACTATTCAAGCTGGATGTTCCAGAAGCCAGTTGCTTGAGTTTTGAGGGTTTGTTTTTAAATTTCCTCAATAAAAATCATGCCAGGTTTCATTCTGTTAACAGTGAGAAGCAGGATCCATCTCTCTTTGAAGATTCTTCAAAGATTGTTTACGGTCATTTTGACAGACACATGTTCAACCAATCACTTCACTTCGCTGTCACATTGTCATTGACTGACATTAGGGCATGCAGCTCAAGACAGACACACTGTCTACACAGCAGCCATCAGGCCCAACAACAGATCCCTGCTGGGATCCTGGCGGGGAGAGCTTGTTAAATGTGAGGACTTATTGTTTTCCCAAATTGGTCTGGGTCTCTAATTATCCAGTTAGTCCCCCTCTTATGGGCTGAACTCGTCTACCCGATCTGGAACCAGCCTCCCGTCATCAGATCATGCAGTAAAACGTGGCTCAGCTCTGGCTGGTCACATGTTCATTGTCTCTTCCAGACAGGGCTGCTACACAGCCATATGTAAGTGGGAAGAGAGCCAATCAGAGTCAAAAGTTTTTGGACTGGTTGAGTGCAATAGAGACCTAATTCTTGAAGAAAAGGCCCAGAGGGATCAATTGCAGATACACATCTAAATCTGGAGACAGACAACACTCAAACAAATATGTCCTAATCTAATGAGAATGGATGAAGGGGCTTGGGTCCTTGAGATGGAGCAAACTGGTGGATCTGCAATAGTTTGAAAGTCTTAAGTTCATGAGGGATTTTGCCTTATAGGTATTCTCTAGGGTTTTACAGTAATGTAGAACTGATGATCACCAAGGGAATTTTAGGACATTATTTTTCATATTAAAACTTAAACAGAGTAGTAGACTGGTAAAAATGAGCTTTTATTTTGAAACAAACCCCTACAGAAAAAAATTGTGATGAACATTTGTGATACAGCGTAGATAAAACTATTTTTTCAGGACTTTTTCCACTTTTTAAATTCTCTTTAAACAAATGAAAGATCACGTGGCTCATCTTAAAACTGGGGTGACATTGCCTTTTGTCTCCCCTGCCCCTCCTAACTCACACCCTCAGTCTGCTTACTGCCCCCTTTTTTGTCTGCAGCCATTACACAAAAAAAAAAGCTGTTGTCTCCAAACACACCGTCTCTATGCCCTTTGATAGGTAGTTGATAACAGACTAGCAGACTGATGGGGCTGGCTGACTGCTGTATATAAGGAAAGGTGCATCAGCAGCGAAGTCACACCAAAGTCCGACAACCTCTCTGAAAGCTCACCTTTTAGGAGTTTACCAACAACTATCAGTATGATGTTCTTCATTGTGCCTCTTGTAGCTGTGGCATCTCCATTACTGGCGTTTGACATGAGTCAGTCCACTCGTTGCGTTGCCATCCCCAACCAGATGAAAGTCTGCAAGGATGTTGGATACTCTGAGATGCGCCTGCCTAACTTTTTAGGACACAGCAACCTAGGAGAAGTGGTTCTACGTTCAGAGGACTGGAAAGACTTGTTGCAAACAGGCTGCCACCCTCAAGCACAAGTCTTCCTCTGCTCCATTATTGCACCCATCTGTCTTGACACGTAAGTCATTTCAACAGTTTTTTCACACTTTGCATAGATTTAAATGAATCTAATTGAGATTCCATCAAAATTTGCCCCTCAGTTTTATCCAGCCTTGTCGCAGTCTGTGTGTGGCAGTAAGGGACAGCTGTGCCCCAGTGCTGGACTGCCAGGGACATCCTTGGCCTGAGGCGTTTGACTGTGACCGTTTCCCTGCTGAGGAAGACATGTGTCTAACCCCCCATGGAAAATTCAATTACTTTCTTAAAGGTGATTGCCATTCATTTAAAAATGTGGTTCTACGTAATAGTTAGCTATTCCCTTTACTTAATAAAGTATTGTCCATGTGCTATTATTAAATCATTTTTTTAAACTCACAGATTTACCCAAACCAGTGTGTCAAAACTGTCCATCTGTGGAAACGTCCCCACCCATGAAAACAGTCCTGAGTGCCTTTTGTCATTATGATTTTGGTATGTACCAACATCATTGTTTCCCTATCACATGCACTGTTTGATATCATGCTGTCAGTAATTCATTCACCTTTCCACAGCTGTGACGGCCAAACTCCATCGTCTCCGTCACTCCACCGGAGAGCCAGAGTTCAAGGTGGAGGGCCGAGTTGAGTTTATCCGCCAGGGTCCACTGCTGCCTTATGACACCCAGCACCTGTTGCGGGAGTGGCTCCTCATCAACCTCCAGTGTGCCAGCTCCTTGGTGCGCCCGGGCCGCTCGCAGCTTTACGTTCTGACAGGCTCTGTGAAGCCCAACGGAGCTGTGGCACTCACCCATCTCTTTCCCTGGCACAAAAAGGACTCCGGCATTGCATTAGCCACTCGTAGGTGGAAACACCACCGATGTTAAGAAGGAACTACTCTGAATTTTGTTCTCTTATTCATATGGGATAGCTTAATTCATGTGATGCACTCAAACCTGTAAATAATATCAATAGAATGTTAATTAAATATATTTAACATCTTTACAAGGAAATGTTTTCATATATTTGTATGTGTGTATGAGATCTCCCGCAAATTGAATTTGCTCTTCTTTTCTGTTATTCTAATATAGATTTGTTTGTATAACATTACATTTGTTTGTATATTAAAAACAAATGAGAAACATTCATTTTTTTAATCTCATTACACATTGTTTTGAAAAATTACCGCGGAAGGATGTGTTGACTTCTAAATGACTTGTGACTTTATTCACAGCAGACCTTCTGTTGAATGAAGTGCTAATGAGAAGATAAACCACCCACTTTACATCTGAATAGCTTCATTTTCCTCACAAAGCTAAGCAGACCTCACTAGAGTTGTTGAACAAGAAGGATGTTCAATACTTTTTGAATTTTATTATTCAGTCCCTCTGTTTACAGATATAAAAGGCCCTTTAAATTAGTTTGAAAATACTTTATCATTTTATATATAACTTAGTGAAACATTCTATTCAAGACACTTATTCTCTTATGTATATATTGTAGCGTGAGAAATAGTTGAATGTCTTCAGAAGTTCAACACAAAAAAACTGAAGAGTTTTGAGTTATTCTAAATACAAAAGTATTTAATAACTGATTTTAATTGTAGTTCTAAGTTTAGAATCTTTTGGAAAGGGACAAAAACTAATTGGTGGACTTTTACTGATAAAAATGCCTTCATTGTAATTGTGCAGTTCTTCAGAACAATAAAAAAAACCACTAGAAATTTTTATATTTAAGCTAGAGTCTGATGAAATTTACCAGTTCTCCTGTGAGTCCTCTTTTAACGATACTTTGCCCTCAAAAATCAAAACCAATGATCAATTACAGCAAAGAGTACAGTAAAATCTAGGGTAGTTTCACAAATAAAAACTCGTAGGATACAGATGGATCCATTCGCATGGTTTATGTCTGGGGATGGGGTAAACTACATAATAGTGATCGGCCTCTTTTAGCCCAACCTTTGTAGAAAGTCTTGCAACTTTTGCTGTTAAGTAAAAAAAAAATTGTCTCCATCTTTTTTGTTCCAATTACTTTGTGGTTACAGTACTAAAACACTGCCCGGCCCACAAAAAGTCATCACCCCCCCCAAAAAAACAAGGTCACACATACTCTAATATTTTGTTGATCATGACATTCGCTGTGGCATTGTTTTGATAAGCTTGGCAAAGTCATAATATTTGTTTCCATCCAGTGTTGCATTAATTTTTCACCAAGATCTTGCACTGAAGATGGTAGAGTCTGACCACTGCCGTTTAAAAAAACAACATTTGTTTCATACAGCAAAGAAAAAAAGTTAAAGGGTGAGGTAACTCGAACAAAATTGACATTTTACAGTTTCCTGTTTCTCAGCTCTCAGTTTCCCTCACTGTCGTCGTACTATGAATACACTTTTCCCTAAAGCTTTGAGCTGATCCAGCCCATCATTCTGCAGACTCACTGCCATGATGTTCCCTTCCTGGCAGATCCTTTGACCTTCTTCAACAATTCCTGGCATCTTGAATGATCTGGGTCCTAATTGGGTGGGTTATCTTTTATGCTTCACATTGTGTCATCCATCACTATCTAACAGCTTTAGTCAGACAGTCCTTTATCATCAATCACCTATGTTTGAGCTGTCTTTTAAAACCAGCACGTCACTGTGTTTAAAAATTCCCCCTATATTTTGAAGCAATGTCAGCAACAGCATTTTTGGAAAATAAAAATGCACCAGATGACAAAGACGGTGCACACAAGTGAGCGTTTTTGCTAATGTTTTACACATATGGCCATGTCTCTGCATGCACAGTAATATCACCGATTATGCCAAGACAACATTTGCACGTTGCATGCAGACCCCCATAATTCTGCAGCAAATATGAAGCCAAAAAGGAAGTGGTAAATCATGCAGGTCCACTCTCATCCACTGGGGGCTGGCACCAGAAGTGAGCAAATTCTCATAGACTCCCAAGTTAAAAAGGCCAGTTTCACAGCAGAAATAAACATGTTTACAGCCTGGTTCAAAAGGCCATTTTAGGTTTAATATCATGTCATTTAACTGCTTGGTCAAACATGTTAGTGGGGCTGCATAAGAACCTTGAGCGGGTGCCCAGCTTCTGCTGTCTCCTGCCTGAGAATAGCAGACGGCTGTCTGTTCCCATTTCCCGGGGGCAGCTGGGCTGGCTCCGAAGCGAGGCTGTAGTCATGCTGGTCAATGGTGAATCTCTGAGGGAGACCACAGAAACACCACAGCTCTTTTTTGTTGACGCTGCTTGCCTTCGGTGTAGCTCAACTGCATTTTTCTTGCTTAAAATGCCCGGGAAAACTTTGTTAGCTTCGGGCTAGTATAACGTTCCGCTGATTTCTGGCTCCCGGAGAAAAGACCATCAACAAAGGCGGACACGCGGATCTTTCACCGCGGTGGAACTAGCGAAGCCCGATATCCGTGGTCACCTTACTAAGCAGGCCAAAGGTGCCTTTACTTTGGAGTCGTTCTACCGCATTTTCTTGCTGAAGATAGCTGGAAAAACTCTGTTAGCTTTGGGTTAGCATGTAGCTGTACCACTTATCTCAGACCATGGAGCAAGAGCTGATGTAAAATGCCACGGCGCTTGGCTGTCATCGCAGAGTGCTGAGGCTATGCTTGTAATTGAATAGTCCCAGTCCATATTAGATCTCCACAGGTGACCAGCATGACTCCAGCCTTGCACAGGAGTCAGTCTGCCGGTCAGATGGGATATCCCCGTCCAAGGAGCCCTTCTTAGCTTTTTGGGTTAGCTAAGTTAGCTAGTAGCTATGGTTCATTTGTTCCAACCCTGTTCCAAATGTAACAGCCCCACCCTCAGCTCCACCTCTTTTCCCATTTTTTGGATTGTCTGGGCGTGACGAGACCTGTGACACGGTCAAAATGGTAATGGTGGGAACCTCTCATTTGGGCACAAAAACGTATAATTCGAGCCTATGGACTTGAATTGTTAGCCTGGCCTGCCAGACTGGTCCTCTGTTTAATTCTGTATGGAGAAAAAATCTGGTAACTCACAGACAGAGAGGCACTTGAGGGGCTGTACTAGGCAGCTCAAAAATAACCAGTCAAAAAAAAGACGAAATGCCGACTGTACCGTGTGAGGCTGTAATTTTTCAGCTGTAGTCAAAAATGGCGTCTAGCGACAGCGCAAACATCTTTAATTTCTTTAGAATAAATGCTTTTAGAGCTTCTACTTGTTGTGGTTTTAATGACATTCAAGTCATTTAGACCAGAGGAAAGAGCTGCAGCGAACTCCGCCGCTGTCTTTGTTGTTAATGAGAAACTGAGCGTCACTGTGTGTGCCATCCGCGACGCTGTAGTTTTTTAGCTGCAGTCAAAAATGGCGTCTGGCGACAGCGCAAACATCTTTCTTTAGAAGAAAGACTTTAGCGTTTCTACTTGTTGTTTTAAAGTCGTGTCCAAGTAATTTAGAACAGAAGAAAGAGCCTCGCCATGTTCAACAAACTCGGCGTTATGGTGTGTGACGTACACTCCGTAGCGCTGATTGGCTAGGTTAGAATTCTCAGGGGGTGGGGTTATTTGAATAGGAGAGTTCCCAAACCCTTTCTCTGTGCAGAATTGAACAGAGGCGGAGTCTGGCAGGCCAGGCTAATGAATTGTCCAGTATATATGTATGTGGTTGCATGGAATAAAGTTTCCGTTTTTTCCTAATTACGTGAATGTTTTTCATTGACCAAGAATGGGTTCGCTGTGAGTCTGTTGGGAGCCTCGATTGACCTGATGCAACGTTATTGGAGCTAATCTCATCAGAAACAGGATTTCAACCTCACCGACTAAAGCAAGACTGGGACATCACCATTTCAGTGCACAAACGGCAGAATGACGAGGCAGGACAACGACTGAGAAGATTTACACCAGAAATAAGTAGATTGCAAAAACCAGATTCAATTAAACACTTTATTTACAGTTCATTCATTCTGAAATAATATTTACAACTTCAAAACAATCTGAAGGATTTAATAGAAAATGGTATTAATGATAATGGTAAATGACCCGCACTTATATAGCACCTTTCAGAGTGAGAGGACTCCAAACCGCTACAGTGTCATTCATCCATTCACACACACACACACTGATGGTGATGAGCTACAGTATAGCCACAGCTGACCAGGGCACACTGATGGAGGCGAGGCTGCTGAGCACAGGTGCCATCAGGCCCTCCGACCACCACCGGCAGGCAAAGTGGGTTAAGTTTCTTGCCAAAGGACACAACAGCAGAATTCTCTGTTGGGAGCTGGGATCAAACCCGCAACCTTCTGATTACTGGACAACCTGCTCTACCTCCTGAGCTACAGTTGCAAGTGTAAGCCTACACAAATATACAAATGTTTAACATGCAAATAGTAAATAGAACAACTCAGTTTTGGTCTGAAAGGGAATGAAATCCAATCAAACTACCAACCAAAGTATTTTTGAAGTATCAGTGTTCAACATATTTTTTCCATTGTTTCAGAGACCCTTCTGGTATCAGAGTTGGGGTTGGAGGTTCTAAAGAAAGTATTTTGTTTTGAATCAACTTTTTTTGGTCTTACATGCACCTTTGGTAGGTTTCTGTGATGGTGAGCGCTCTGTGGCTGCATTAGTGTGGTTGTGTGATGGTTGTTCCTCCACCAGGGAGAGACCTCTGACCATGAGCTCATCCATTGGGGAATGAGTGGTATGGACCTCCTTCTCCTTGCGGTTTCTCCACTTCATGCGACGGTTCTGGAACCAAATTTTCACCTACATTAGCAGGAGGGTGGAAAAAGAGATAATCAGTAAAGAGCTTTGAGTGTATCTATCTAGGCTGTAGAAGCCACCCAGTAAAGGAGGTTTTATTCCCCATGTTACTCTTACAAAGCCAAAACTAGGATCATACCAAGTCTATTACCTGCGACTCTTTGAGACTAAGATCAGCTGCCAGTTTGTTTCTGTCCATTTTACTGATGTACTTCTGTCGTCTGAAAGTCTTCTCCAGCTCCTTCCTCTGTTCCTCAGAGAACACTGCCCTCCTGAGGATCCCTCTGCGTGATTTAGGGCTTACATTAGGAGACCAGATTTTAACGTTTGCTCCTTCTGAAAAAATGAGATAATCAATAGAAGTCACAAGATCGATTGGAGTTTACGTTCCAACAAAACATGGATGCTCAGTTGAGGCATTGATCGAAACAAAGTTATTCATAGAAGGCAGGTCCTGTTGGGTTAAGCTGTTCCAGTTGAATGAGTCACTAAATAATAGAATCAAAACAGCTGTTTAATAGTTGCCTGTCATGTTTGGTCATGAGGGCTAAACTGGCTTGTTGGTGAGACTGTCACTCTACAAACATGGACCACCGATTTAAGCTGGCATAGGAAGACTTTTCTAATGATTATTTAACAATGACAGATCTTGTCTATAACTGCTTACAGTGTGTATTTGGTATTAATGTCATTCACTTAGTACTTTACTTAGAATGTACAGTTCCTGGCTTTACTTTACTCCAGTTCCTTGCCATTTCCTTGCATGTCTAGCCCTGGAGGTATTTCACTTGTTTTATCCATTCCTGTTTATTTTTACCTCTCATGTAACCCTTTAAAATTTCTAACGTCTTTGCTCCTTCTGCACAAAACACTGCTGAAACAGAACTTTCTGCATTATATTTCATTTTTGCATGAATGAATTTCATCCTTAGCTTCAGCCTTCACAATTTATATTAAATGCGTGTGTGAATCTGAGATTTAACCCCTTTATTGCCAGGTTTATGATCAAAATCAGAACAGTCAGAAATGTTTCAAAATCGAAAAAAATCTAATTATTTTTTGTATGTTATGTCCAGAGGACCTGTTTGAAGCTGCCTTAAATTGTCACAAATGGGGGGAAAAATAAATTTTTTTGCTCACTTTATACTTTTTGCTTAATGTAGAGTCACAGTTTTAGTCTTTGTGCACAAAAAAATGCTGAAATCTCATATAATATTTCATAAGTTCCAATTTTTCATTTTTGGCTTCATTCCTCACACAGTATAATAAAATATGTGTGTGCTTCTGAGATTTAAACCCTTTATTTATCCTTTTATTGCCAGGTGTATGATCAAAACCAGAAATGTAAACAAGTGAAAACATGTAACCATTTTATACAATATACAGGCCATTTATGTTTTAGATTTGTTTATTAATTCCATTATTTCAAACAAATAATGGAATTAATTTGTTTTGTGGGTGAATTTTTAACATAGTTGACTGTTATAAATAGGCTTAAAAAGTATTTTTATTCATGTTTTTATATTTGAATAGTGTCCATTTATATACACCCTGCTATACTTGGGGAAAATAAACAATCTAGTGAAAAACAATAAAAACTTAAAATTCAGTCTTTGTGACTGGTTTGGAAATTCATACAGAATAATAAAAATGCTTATATTTAGCCTGCTTAGAAAAAAATGTATATGGGAGTCAATGGCACAGAAAAATGCCAGGGAGCACTGACTATAAAACAATTTTAGCGTTAAAGTAAATGGAACAAGGGAATTAAAAATATATATATTTGGTGAATCCCCCAAAAGTGCACATCTTGCAACAAAAAAAAAAAGATATATTGCATTAGCAGAACCACAACTATTCACAAAAACACACGTTTGTGCAAAAACAATGCACTGAGCACATATACGGGTTCACTTTCTTCTCTTGCATCTTGGTCTCCCAATTTGAATTCACAACATTTCCAAGATGATGGCAATTTGACCCCATTTATTTCCGACTTTTGACTAATGTCTTTCGGTTTGTCCAAATTAACAAACTAGGGATGACTAAAGTGAGTCAGCTGCTGTTTCTGTTCAGGAAAAGGGATTAGATGACCTGTGAGGAGCAATCCCACGCTGCCTCACTCACAGGTGCACTCACAAAAAAAGTCAAGTGAAACAATTTATCTGATCCATTCAGCATTGCCTTTTTAATCTGTACGACAAATCTGCACATAGACCACCTCCGGGAGCACAAAACAGGTTTGGACATGCTTCTCACTTCTCAATGGGAGCTCAATGGCTTTTACTTAAATAGCTGATTACCAGGTCATTCCTGGGTAATGTGTGTGTCTACCCTATTGGACCATCTATTGAATCTGATGGGGCACCAACAATGCAGCTGCACAATGGAAATGCCATTACTCGATGACTCAGTGGCCCAGCGCTAAATCTCTTCTCTTGCAAGTTTGAAGCCAGTTTGTATGTGAAGATGAGCTCGAATAAGTCTATAAAAGTCACTTTCATTGAGTGCTTTATGTCCTAGTCGAGAGGTCTCCAATGGGCAGGAATGAGAGTTGAAGGACAGCAGAACAGGGGGGGGGGGGTCTGCGTGCCCAAGCTCTTTAGCCACACAATGAGCGGGGGACGTTCCTTGTCCAACCCTCTGCTGCAGAGGAATGGGTGAGGGTGCTTTCTTAATGCTTAGTGGAGTTCATTGCTGCAGTGAAAAATTGCGGTGAGGTCGCGTGTGGATGGTGGAGTGAAAGTGCCAATTGGTCACGGCCAGCGTTGGCATTGTTTTGTTGCCGGGCGCTGTGGGAAAGTGTCAGCCTATTAAGAAGACTCTAGGGACCTGTGGGATGAGGCTTTTCTGATTTGTGCCTTTCTCCACAACTCTTGACAGCCACCATGAATTGCAGCAACTAATAACTTCCAATTGCTGAGGGACAACGCCAAAAAAGAACAAATGTTGAATTCCATTAATTCCGAGACATTTTATGTGGATGATATATGTCTAGTGTTCAACACAATAAGCTGTGATAAAAACATTTTAAAACTTAAGTTTATATTTTACACGCAGATATTTTTCAAATGAAACCTTTCGTGTTAGGAATTTCCAGATTCAGCTAAGAAACAATACTCAGTATTACTCAGTAATCTTGCTACAGTGGGGATGAAAGTTTTAGTTCTGTGTATTGGCACTGCTAAACGTGTGTGTGTTTGCTAGTCCGAAAGCAGGGGGCCTCTGGGACTCCCCCCCCCCCCCCCCAACCCACCCCTTTCCCCGTCCTAAACAGCCGTGAATGGTAATGAATAGAACTGTGCAGAGTTGAACGGAGAATTAGCTCTTTGGCATTGCATTGGTAATTAGCTGTGGAAAGCATGGAAGACCTTGCTGCTTATGTTTAGAGAGCAGCTGAAGCATTGCTGATGAGGCATAGAAAACTCACTGGAGAGGACAGGAGGGGGGCTGGACCCACCGCAGCACGCCAGCAGATACTGCGAGCTCTGCAGGAAAACACTGCTGAGCATGCCTGCAATGACAGGACGACACAGTCAGATAGAGTCCTGAGCCACAACATGACACCTTAATCAAACGTTTCCAAAAAAAAAATCTGAATACAAACGAATGTAACTGTTTCCAGACAGGAAGCTAACAACCAGATAGAAATAGACTGAAGATCATCAAGTTTGGAAACTATGACAAAACATGTGCATATATCATAATGCCACATTGGGATGACTATATGTTGTAGGGAATGGAACATTTACAGACTGCCCTTTACAAGTTTTAAAAGTAAATTGCTTTTACTATTTACAGTTCAGGGTCGAGATTTACATGCATTTGATTTTCAGCGACTGATGAATGTTGTTTGGCTAAACTTAAAAACAATATTTCCTTGAAAAAGCTATTATCTGGATGAACAGATAAATTACTGAGTTATTTGTATCAGTAGTTTAGCATTTCCAGTGTCGTAAAACATGTGCTTTAGTTTTTTCCTACTTTATGTGAAGAGCTTGATGCATTGCTTCTAGTTTTCCCAACCTCTGGTTGGTTTTCAACATCTCAGTCCCTCATTATTGCCTTTCATGACTATTCCAACATTTTTTTTCACTTTTGTTTTAACATTTACGAAAAAAAATTCACCCTAAAATTGAGACATTTTTTTGTAAATCCTTTGGTTTAGGGTGGAGTTGGATTATACAGAAACAGGCTGTGTTTTTAGTATATTATTATTTGGAATTTGCTGGAAAAGGTGTTTGCATGACTCTGGTGGGATTATGGCATCACTACCAACTTTAGAGGTGTGTTTTCATAATAACTCTGTTTCTATTCTAGCCCGAGTTGTACATCCCATATAAAATCTTTGCATTTGAATTTGCATTATTCTTTTGTTTTGTCACAACAAAACACAAATCAGTCAGTGAAAGCTAGTTCATTTCTACAAACATGCCCATACAAATATAACTACCTGGGTGTTGCAAAAGTGGTCCCTGTTGTGGACTTTGTGCCAGGTGGACATCCTGGCCCCAGATTCTCCTCCGATGTTCACACGCCGCTTGTCTGAGATGCCCACATGAGGATCCATCAGGTCGGGCTGCAGGCCGTTGAGATTTCAGCAGGTTATCAATCAGAAAGCTCTTTCCGGAGCTTCCAAAGCCCGGTAAAGCAGGAGCTATGCTCGCCATGCTTCTTCTGGTGCAGCTCTGAACCGAGACCATCCTGCTGACGCAGTGACCCAAGCACTCAAGTTCCCTCTACAGCAGCTACGTGACACTGAACTCTTCTTTAATCCTTTTCTTGGGTGACCAGGCCAACTTCATTAAACTCAGAGGAAGACAAAAGTTCTCTGGTCTTCCTCTTTCGGGCCTGTACTTTGCTACAGGGCTGTGTTGTGATTGGCTGAGAGCCTCTAATGTGCTCCTCAATTCAGATAAGGCTGGGGCCTTTCTGGAGTGGCAGAAGGTGGGTCTGGCTCATTCATTATGTCAAATAGCCTATTAAATGATAGACACCAGCGACAATGAAGTGCTGGCCAAAGTTTAACATGGACCAAACAGTCTTCTGCAGTAAATAGTTTTCTCTTTTCTCCCTCAGAGCTCCATTGTGCCAAACACAGACCCCTCAGCAGTTCATTTAAAATGCACTTTGTTTTCTTTTTCTGTTTCATTTCTGGAACTCTGCTCAGTGAGAGCTTTCGTGGTTGCCTAAATAATAAAAACGGGCCACATTTAGTGAATGAATAGCACAAGATTCAATATTATTGCTTGTTTTTCGTCTTTAAATACAAATTCCTAAAAAGCCAATTAAAAAACGAAGCTTTCAAAGATGACTGAAATGACATTAATTAAATCAAACTGCATTTTTTCATGATTTTAATGTTGAAAATTCAAGCTTTTGTTGTCATGTAATATAATATGTGTGTTGATGAATCAGCAGAATGAAACACACAGAAATTCGTTGTTACATGTACAACTCAAGCCAAGATGGACACATGATCAGCAATAGTTGGCTGGATGTAGCCAAAAGTCATTTTCATCACTGTGCTAAAAGTGTGTGCTGTAAATAGTGCAGGAGATAAGACAGAACATTAGTTTTACGGTTTGACACAAATAACATTTCAAAATACAAGATAATTCTAGTTTGAAATTGCTGACAAATGTGTTCTTTCAAGGGATGCTTAGCTTTTAGAGTAGGGATGGACAATATATCGGCATCAATATTGGTATTGGCCGCTGTTAGTCATTTTTTAACACATCGGTATTGGTTCGATAAATAAAACTGGGCCGATTTTAACAACCGATATTTTTTCCATCTCGTTTCCATTTGTTTGCCTGTTTCAGAGGGTGAGGGGGTGATGTGTAATTTTTTAGTCATGTGAACTGTGAATGAAATCATCTCAGAAACGTAAATGTGTGTGTTGTGCGTACATAATAACATACATTTTCATTCTATACAAAATCTGCAAAATTTATAAGCATTAATATCAGTATATCGGTATCTGTAAATATCGGTTATCGGTCATAACAGTGAGCTTAATATCGGATATCGGTATCGGCCAAAAATTTTCATATTGGTGTATCACTATTTTAGAGTCAAAGAATTCAGAGCGCTTTGAAAGAAAATCTGATATATTTTCTCCACCAAATATAGTTAGAACTCCTCCAACTTCCACGGGTCTTTGGTGGCAAATCTGTGGCCCCACACACTCACTAATGTGAGTGTGTGGGGCCACAGATGCTAAGCAGATGTTAGCACCATGTTAGCACCATGTTAGCACTTAGCCTAACATGGTGCTGGTATGTAGGGACACATAACCTAAGGCTGTGGCTGGCACTAAATGCACTATGAATTATTACCGTGTGCTTTTCAGCAAAAAATGTTACTAATATATATCCTCATGTTGTTGGCGCAGTGATACTTTGGCTCTGTTGTCATTTTTTTGTGTGTGCCCTTTTTTTCTTCCTCTCTCTTCCTTCAGGTCTAGAAGAGGATTCCTGTACAAAACAAAGGAAAATAACGTGAGATACTTTTTCTCCACCAAATACATTTTTTTCTAGTTTTATTTAAATAAAACAAATTTACAATGTAAAAAATAAAATTCTAAAATACAAAATTAGAAGATTAAGAATAAAATAAGTTGTCACTTGTATCAGTTTAATCATAATTGTATTATATCAAATACAGGCCATAAGAATGAACTGTTTGAGTGAACTGAACTGTATATATATATATATATATATATATATATATATATATATATATATATATATATATATATATATATAGATATCTCACAGTGCTATCTCACAGATAGCACAGTGATGATTGATATATCATTATATATATAGATATAGATATATAGATCGATAGATCGATAGATAGATAGATAGATAGATTGATAGATAGATAGATAGATAGATAGATAGATAGATAGATAGATAGATAGATAGATAGATAGATAGATAGATAGATCGATCGATCGATCGATCGATAGATAGATAGATAGATAGATAGATAGATAGATAGATAGATAGATAGATAGATAGATAGATAGATAGATAGATAGATAGATAGATAGATAGATAGATAGATCGATCGATAGATCGATAGATAGATAGATAGATAGATAGATAGATAGATAGATAGATAGATAGATAGATAGATGATAGATAGATAGATAGATAGATAGATAGATAGATGATAGATAGATAGATAGATAGATAGATAGATAGATAGATAGATAGATAGATAGATAGATAGATAGATAGATAGATAGATAGATAGATAGATGATAGATAGATAGACAGCCATCCCGCACAGAGTTTGTGGCATGTGGTTGTGTGTGCTGCACGTCAGTGTCATGCTGCTGTAAAACAAAAGTGGTTGAGTAAGCATACACACGCATGTCATGTTTTACAATAAACACATCCAACAAGAGGCTTGTGCAACCTTTCACACTGCATCTAATGACCTGTGTGTGTGTGTGTGTGTGTGTGTGTGTGTGTGTGTGTGTGTGTGTGTGTGTGTAGGGGGGTGACTGAGAGCTCTGCGCGTGTAGATACCTCATGCTGAGCATGGAAATTGGCCCAGACAGCTCAGCCTTTTGTGCAATGCCCAGGGTGCCAAAGGTTGCTTGTAATCAAATTTGAGGTTTTATTCCTCAGGCTGGTGGAGAAACTATTGCACTCTGTCACATGATGAGTGTTAGCAAATTTCTGTGCACCATCCACCTTTGTAGTGGAGAGCGTGTGTGTTAATGTGTCCCACATAGACCGGTGGCCATGACTGGCCACCAGCTTAGTTGGTCATTTGTTTTAGTGTGGCGGAACAAATCCAGATTGCTACTCAATGCTAACGTTTTATTAGCTGTGGACATAAAATTCTTCTTGCTATAGCTACATATTTAGCAGTACGTTTGTGTAGCTCTGGTTTCTGAAAAAGTATATGCATCTCAGCCAGATGACATTCATTACATTATGTTGTGTTTGTAATTAAATTGCACTTATCTCAGAGTTCACTAATATCTTAGGTAGATTCTGTCCCATGAGACTTTGTGCCCATTTTACAAGATAAAACTAAGCACATCATGAGATTTGCCAGTGTGCAATTAGCCAGATTCCAACAGCGCTCTCCAGAAGAGGGAGGTATAATTAGACCATTCTTAAAGAGTAGGTCTTGGAAACGCCATGGAGTGAGTTCATGTGAATTTATTTGATGCCCATCTCTTCTCAAGCAGAGAAGGAGAAAAAAACAGGGGTCTGTTCATTCAAACATCTCACAATGGCTCTGTTGAAAGCTAGTACTCTGCAGGCCAACTAAGATCCCTTTTCTCTTTTTTTATTTTCTAACCCCAGCAAAGCTCTTAAAAAGATACCGGCCCATTGCACACGCAATTGATATTCCACCACTCGGACTTAATATTGTGAATGGAGGGCCGGGTTCCATGAATCAGGAGGACAATGTGCTTAGCATAGCAGCAAACTGGCACTTTGTGTGTGGTGTATGTGTCCCAGAGCAGGAAGTTTCTAATGTGAGCCTCACAATTGTGTGTCCATAGAGTTCTAATGAGCTTCTGTATGACAAGTGAATAGTTGCAGGCTATTCGCCATGAGAGTCCAAATGAGCCAGCTCACTGCACACATTCACCAAGGCGTCCAGGAGGTAATGGGAGTGGCTGTATGAAGTCACCGGGCTGCCACAGCGCTCTGTAAAAGCTCGTCATATGTTCAAACGTGTTTCCATTAATAGGATATTTGCATTAGAATGGGATCATTAATTCAAATTTTAGTAAAGTGCAATTCTTTAACAATGTTACAGCAGAAGTTGTAAAGAAAGACAGGAAAAATATCAAACAGGCTATGGTATGACACATTAAACATTTAAAATAATGCCCCCAAAATCGGCTTACCTACTGAGTAACTAATGATGAACGAAACATAAACTAATGATTAATTAATGATTACCTAAGCTTTACATCAGCCCCACATTAGATTTATTATTTAATGATTCCTGAATGATTATGAAATGGTTGGTTAGTCTTGATATTACCAGCTAACTAATCAGACACTAAGGATTACTTCATTTACTTTTTATCTAATGATTCTTTAATTATTCCTTAATGCGTACTTAATGGCTGGTAATTCAGAAAACAAATATAAACCTAATCAGCCACTAATGATTCAATAATGATTACCTAAAATTTACACCCAGCCCCAAACCAAATGTATGATTCCTGAATGATTATGAAATATTTAGTCAGTCCGAATCAGGAACTAATTACTCATCAATAAATGACTCAGGAACTAATGGGTAGCTAACCAGTACTTACTGGTGAACACACCCACCAGTTTTACTCAGGGACTAATGGGTAGTTACCTAAGGAACTAAGGAGAAACAAACAAATACTTACTCAGTACTTAACCATTACCTACGGCTTTTGTGGCCCCTATTGTAAAGTGAAGCCTCCTCCCATATTTTGTGTTATTCTATACTGGAACAGTGTGTCTGTTGGTGAAGTTTATTTTATTATTGCTACGGCAAAAAGTCTGACTTAAGGGAGTACTTATACACTCAGTCAGAGCATATCATTGTACGAAAGTAAGTTGTCAGAACTCATGTACCGTAATGGAGGAAAGCACAGCTTTACCAGGGGACAGAGTATAACAATAATATCACAATGGTACTCAACATAGTACAGATATGTAGATACATGTTGAACACATAATAGAAGTCACTGGATGCCAGTTTAGTGTCTGGCTAGCTTTTAAAAAAACTGATATGCTGATGATGACAGCTGGTGAGTGTTGATCTAAA